CAGGAATGCAAAACTACAGCAAAAACAAGAATTATTTACAAGCATTATTTTTAAAAATTGTATCTTTTTCTGCATGTTTCTCATCAAATTAGGGCATTTAGAGAACATTTTTTGAAATTCTTTGTTTTAAATCTTTTGTCAAAATGTAAAGTTTTCATATCATTTTTGGTCAAATTTTCACAAAAAAATTGTAAAATGATTTTCAAAAATGTTATCTTTTCCTGCATGTTTCTTATCAAATTAGGGCTTTTAGAGAACATTTTCTGAAATTTTCTGTTTTAAATTTCTTGTCAAAATGTAAAGTTTCAGGTCATTTTTAGTCAAATTTGGTCAAATTTTCACAAAGAAATTTGTAAAATTATATTTAAATATTGTATCATTTCCTGCATGTTTCTCATCAGATTAGGGCTTTTAGAGAACATTTTTTTGTAATTTCTTGTATTAAATCCATTGTCAAAATATGAAGATCTTGTGTAATTTTTGGTCAAATTTAGTCAAATTTTGCTGAAAATCTTTGTAAAATTAATTTTGAAAATTGTATCTTTTACTGCATGTTTCTCATAAAATTAGGGCATTTAAAGAACAGTTTCTGAAATTTTTTGTATTTAATGTTTTATCAAAATATAAAATTTTCATATCATTTTTAGTCAAATTTGGTAAAATCTTCACAAAACAATTTGTAAAATTATTTTTAAAAATTATATATTAACCTGCATGTTTCACATCCAATTAGAGCATACAGAGAACATTTTTTGAAAATATGTGTATTAAATTCGTTGTCTAAATCTGAAGTTCTTGTGTCATTTCTGGTCAAATTTGGTCAAATTTTGATGAAAACTTTTATAAAATTTTTTTTAAAATTGTATCTTTTCCATTTCTTGCCAAATTATAGCATTTAGAGAACATTTTTTTGAATTTTTTTTTTCAAGTCAATTATGGTCAAAAACTAAAACATTTTGAGGAAGATGTTTGTAAAATTATCTTTTCTACGTGTTTTACCAAAAATGAAGCGTTTTGAAAAAAAATTAAATAAAAAATTAATTTTACAAAAAAAAAAAATTTAGAAAAAGCTTTCTTCGAAAATGCTTTATTTTGATAAGAAAGATATAGAAAAGATAAAAAAATTTAAATAATTTTACAAACATTTTCCTCAAAATGTTTTAGGAAAATAACTTTTTTTCAAAAAAGATTTTTTTAATACAATTTTCTGTCAAAATGTGAAATTCTCTCGTCATTTTTGGTCATAAAAGATTTTTGACCAAAATTTTTGTAATTTTGTAAAAAAAAAAATTGAA